ATTTATTATTCGACACTAGTTAATTGCCCTAGCTAAATTAACCGCATTTCGACGCTAATTCTTAATCCCGGTCGAAGGACCAAATGTTTGGGACCTTAAACCCTTCGCACGTAGACTTATTATTTTTAATTAAAAATCCGCTAAGATTAATTTTCATTTATTGTAATAAAATTGCACTCGGGTGGTCATGGCGTGCGTACAGGGGACAGAACGACGACTAATAATGATACATGATCCGCGGAGCGATTCAAAACTACACAACAAACCGGTTTTTCAACAATAATAATAATATACAAAACACAACAATGTTGTTCTAACTTCCGACGCGACTTCTTCCAAAAGACGATCTTGGATTGGTCCCTAACCCTTGCCAGCTGCAAAACTATTTCGGATAACAGTCTATAGTTCCGATGAAAAACCACATTTCGAAGTGACGAAATGGATGTATTCAAAAAAAAATGTAAGTACTTAAACTTACTAAGATTAATTAATGGTGAAGCTATGTCGACAGATGGGATGGATGGAGAGGACTAGTGGTCCCGACAAAGGACCTAAATGTCCTGTATATTAAACCAATACAAATTATGACTGAAAGTAATGAAATAATTTATAATAGCAGGCAAAAACTTTTTATTATGCAGTACATTTAATTATTTGACAATTTTGACATTACTGTGGCACACAAAAAATATTTAAAAAATATAATAACATAAGTACTTCATATTTTATGTATTATTTATTAAACTAAACCCGAGAGTATAGAAATTATTTATTTAAATTATATATTATAACTCAACTCTTTAACCAGAACAATCCAAAAATGTGGTACCCTTATGCCAACCTTTGGGATGCGTCTCAAATTAGCTAATTCAAATCCGTGAACAGAGTTCAAAGAGGAACAAAGTCGTTATCATTTGATAAAGAAACTTTGATTTGACAGTGATTAGGTACACTATACCAGCCAATTAGCCGACTGACCTCTAGACATTTCTTTCCATTTTCAACCCATAAAGTAAGAAACATGGGACACTTGATTTTTAACCATCTAACTTTAAGCAAAGAGCGCTAGACACTCGCTTGTAGGGCCAAGCCTTAGAGTATTATTAGAAAAACCTAATTTGAACATGATTATCACTTATAATTAGAGGTGAAACCTCCATAACCATACACGAGTATCAAAAATAAATGTCGTTGTATTTCTGTTGTAGATGATTTACTTGAAATAATTGGTAGTTGCTTATACACGTTCAGTCTTATCTTATTACGTTGATCATCCTTATATTTCAAAAATCCTCTTTGCCTCAACCATGACTTTAAAATACAGATGGCTATCGATAACTCTGTTGTTGAGTCTTTATTTAGATTTTCCCTATACGCACAAGTTTACGCTTAACTGCATTAAACTCGATAAATCTTTAGTACTACTTACGAAATACATTAAACTTTTACTTTTGTAGTACTAAAACTTTACGCTCGAAAAAAGAGATAAAAATACGACACTCTTTATTGCCTACTAGCAAACTTATTAAATTAGAAATAATTTATAATAGCAGGCAAAACTTTTTATTATGCAGTACATTTAATTATTTGACAATTTTGACATTACTGTGGCACACAAAAAATATTTAAAAATTTAATAACATAAGTACTTCATATTTTATGTATTATTTATTAAACTAAACCCGAGAGTATAGAAATTATTTATTTAAATTATATATTATAACTCAAGAGTTATGCTTTTCCCTACCGACATATGGTTTTCGTTATCTACATTATGTAAATTAGTCCCAACGTATTTGCATGACTTTATGACTGTCTCTCCATGACTTATAACACAAGTATGGTCGAGTGAAATAGCAGCATTTGTTGCGTATTCTTTTGGATCTTGTACACTCATGAACAATCCTATGATTCGACTTATGTGGATAAATTCAACATGATGGTTCTTTGGTTCTAAAAAAAATGTTCAAAAATTAGTCAAATTTAGCTTGCTGCACTGACAAAAAAATACATAGTTGGACAAACTAAAATTAAGGCTAATCTTATATCCTCGCCCAAAAGCTAAGTGTATTGAGTTACAAAATGTAAATTTTACAGGAGAGAGAAAAATTAAATTATTTGTCAATAAATTAATAATTACTAACTTCTTCTTCCTAAACCTATAAGCCCCACACACTTCACACCTATCAACTCACATTAGATAGGTGGCTGTAATGTGAGCTTTCTCCTCGCCACCCTGTAGCTGTTATTGTTTCTTCCATCAAATTTACTTATTGTACATAATTTAGTATAGATTGTAAATATTCTAATCAACGTCAAAAATAACGAAATATAACGATAAATAACGATGTATATAGCTTGCGTACGAGTCCGCAACACCACGGGGTACATTTTATGTATCTAAGGTGGCTAGTAAACATATCAAGTTTCTGGCTAATACTTTAAGCTAACTGTGAATAATAAGTCTTTAATTATAACTTAATTGTATTAATCGTGGTGAAATATCATTTGTAATAAACTTGTGTTAATTCTTATTTTGACGAAATCCACTAAATACTCAAAGTCTAACAGTTATTTCAACTATAAATGTAATGTGCTAATTGTAATCTTTGTTAGTCCAAATATGTATTTTTTCCATGTTACTACTAGTTTTTTTATTAGTTTATTATTTACGATTTATAATATTCGTTATTAAATCGCCTAATGGTTTAAGCAACAGATCTCTTCGCTTAGCTCCCAGGTCATCCATACTGTCAAGACCTTTAACTGAAAAATTCAATTAATGTGTTAAACAAGGTATAAATAATTTTGTAAAGTATTTTTATTATGACAATTTTGTAACCTCAGTAAACACGGCGCAATTTCAAAATTACAAATTACATTATTCGAAAAACACACAAATCGTTAAAATATGTTTTTATTGGAATTATACGTTTATAATTTATATGGTGTCTATTTAAAAAAAAAGGTATCGATAAGGTAAAAATATGTATCGATAAATAAACATGTTGTATGAATGCAAATAAGGTTCAAAAAAATATTATTTAAATAAACGAAACTAAAAGTTTATAAACAAAACATTTGATGAACTTATCATTTTTATACGTACAGTTCAGTTTAACGGTTTTTGAAGTTAAAACACATCAAAACCGGTTAAACTAAACTGTACGTATAAAAATTATTTGTTAATTAAATTTTTGCAAATAAACGTTTAAGATTCAGTTCAGGGTAGCGGGTTTTGAAGTTAAAACGTGTAACGTTATAAGTTTAAAAATTTAATGTAAGTATCATTTTTTTGCGTTCAGTTGGAGGTAAAAGTCTTTTGAACGTTAAAGTTTAAGCGTTTAAATGAACGTACAGCTGTTGAATTAATATTTGTTTTCATTTTAACAGTTTATTCTCATTACGTACGGAACCTGGATTGACTTAAAATAAATTTCAAATGACCGTCTACATTTTAAGCGCTATTTACGACTGTCGAATAAAGCGTAATTACCAGCAGGTGTATGCTTAACGGCAAAATGCCCTGTAACAAAAAACATAGAAATTTGCATTAATAAAAAATAAGTTATGGTTATTGAAAATAAGTATTCATAACGTTCCAAATAAAAATGAATAATAAATTCAATAATATAAGGGGCCAAATTCAGTAGTAACATGGAAATTAGAGTTTGGCTGGGGGTCATTCCAAAATTTGCGTGGAACATAAAGATAGAGATTTAGTGATTGAATAGTAATAATGGGTACCAGGGTACTATAAAACACACGTTTACATTGTCGCCGCCACCACATAGCGTGCTTTGACTTCAGCTACTGAATACGTGCCGCCGGCCACAGTACCAGGGTTACCATACGTTAAGTTTGCTATACATTGCTCAGCAGCTGTAGCGGATGATAATTATATGAGACGCATACTGTCAGAACAGCTTAACCTATTAAAAACTAATTTTTTTAGAATAATAAATTATTAAAAAGCCAAACTTGCCCAAACACTCCACGCTAGAATGTTATTTTATAAAGAAAAATTACTAGTCCTATGTGTAAAACATGTAAATGTATTATCTAATAAGAAAGGGACTAATGGTTGCAGCGGTCGATAAAATTTTACGTTTTTAACATTATTATTTTTTTTTATTTTCATTTTCATTTCATTTCATGTATTCACTTGTGTACACTTGTTTATTCAGTGTGAATTTTAACGATTAACTAACAAGAAGTGTACCAGGAATGACAAGCTTAAGATAACGCACATTCTTGAACGGGATGATATCAAACGATCATTAACACTAAGTGAAAAATATTTAGTTTATGACTATGATTTCAATCCAAATATTTTTAAGTACAATTAATATTTATCTATTAGTTTTGTAAAGTGTTTGTGAAAATATATTGAATTTTATAAATACCTAAGTGTTCGATTATTTTTTGTTGCAGATAAAGCTCCATCATGTACTCTAAAATTAAAAACAAAATTCATTTTTATATATTTCAATTGTTATGGCAAAATTAATATGCATATGATTTTTCTTATAACTTAAAAACTAATGTAAAAACCGTGTGATATGTACTATGAATATTAAAAATGAATTACGGAGAAAGGAGTTGTTATCGCAATCTTGTTCTGAAATTAAAACGAAATTATTTTAAACATAACAATAACCATCAACTATATCGAAATATTTGCAATTATTACCAGGTATCGCAAACACAAAAGACAAATGCTCTGAAATGATGATTACAAAAAATGTATTTTTAAATGATATTAGACTTAATTTTAAGTTTAGTTATAAATTTAAAAGAGGAAGTCAAGGTAGAAAATGCATGTTTCATAATAATAATGAATTTACATTTACAAATGAATACTGAGTGATATAAATTTAATATTTGTAACACTCATAAAATTGCTTTGATACATTTTTTTTGTAATAATTATTGTATTATTTCCAAAACATTTCTTCTACTAGCATACTTAATCGGTTTTGTTATAGAATAATAATTACTCATCGATAATCTTTGTTGCCAAGCAAAATTTTTTATGTAGAACCACGCGGTCTCTGAAATAAACCAATAATTGATTGAGTTAAGAAAAATCAAATGAAATTTTAATGCGTCATAATATGTATAAAAATGTTCTGAATAGAACAGCGGTTTCAACCTTTTTGAGACTATTACCCATAAATCAGGCTAGATATTGACAAATACCCCTCCCTCCCAAAAAAAAGTTAAGTAAAAATATTGAAAATATTTGAAGGTAATAAAATTATCAGTGTCATTAGGACATAAGATTAGGTAATACACATGTATTCCCATGTGTACATGACTGATGCAAAGTTAATAATAATAATAGATATAAAGTACATAAAATTAAAATAAATAGTTTAGTCTTTATTCCTCAAAAAAATCGTGTTTTACTCCTTGAGGGGTAATTACCCCCAGGTTGGGGACTGCTGGAATACAAATACATTTTGAGTTAAACGTGGCCCATTTAACTAGTGATAAGCCGTGTTGGAATTTTATTACACAATTATTCTATAATATCTATTCTAGATTATCAATAATATTTTACAAACTAAATTAATATATAATCATTTTGTTTGTGTAGAAGACTCTTTTGAGAAATATTGTCAACAAAAGTTGCGTTTTTTGAGCTTATTATCCTCAACAAACCTCGACTTCACGACTATTGATAATTCCTAGAGTTTTTCGGTAATAACCATTTTTTTAAAAACACAATACACACAACAGCCAATAATTGAATACATTTTTTATAGAGATTATAGTTCATAAATATAAATAACCTTATAGTCAGGCAAGTGCCAAGTACAACAAAACCATTAAATTTATAGTATTAATAATTTTAAGTATGTCTTACTTCTAAGAACCATTGTGCGAATGAGTTCGTCTGTAATAAATTATGTATAAAAATTGTATAGTCTTAAAACTTAAAAAAAGTATTTTGTAAACAAAAAATGTACTGACTTGTAGTTTCAAGGTTCTTTCTATCTTCTACATTTTCTGTAAAAAGTTGAATAATGAATTTTTGTCGTTTCATGCGTTTCAAAGTACGGTTACATTGAATAGGGTTGTTTTCGATAGAAACTGCACACTACACAGGTGTAAAAGCTTCTTAAGTATGTCAAGGCGACATAGATACGGTTTGACACTTAAAAACGTATAGATTACACGCGGAAGCACTTTAAGAAAGACACGGCTGTCCGTATTGAGGTAAACACGTTATTTTAAGTATGTCTTAACCTAACCTGTATCAATATGTACGTCAGTGAGTTTCTCTGTAATAAATTATGTATAAAAACTGTTAAGTCTTAAAAATTAAAAACGTATTATTTTGTAAACAAAAAATGTACTGCACCTTCAGGGTTCCTTCTAACTTCTGTATTATAAGCTGTAAAAAAATTAAATATTGAATTTTGTTTAGTTTTTTTAAACCTAAGCTTGAGTAGATACAAAGGTACAAGGAATACATACCACCATTTGCCACAACATTAAAAAACGCATAGATCACTATCACATAGAAAAGTTTCATTTTTGTCTGCAAATAATAATGCAAATTAAAACATGTTATATTGGACGGAGGTATACTTACAATAAAATCTAAACATTTATTGCAGAATTGCCTATGTAAATTTTTTAGTTCTAAGTGGAATTATTTTTTTTTCGTTATGTTTACTTATTTACATTGCTCTGGCGTGTAGTTTAAACTTGTGTTGTTGTAAACATGCAGGTACAAAATCGTGATTTTCTTACATTGATGCAAAGATTACGTAACCACAAAATACGATTATAGAAAATATCGAAAAAAAATTATTGACAAATGTATACTAGTGTTCAATATTTTTGTCGTTTCAGAGTACTGTTAAATTGAATAGTGTGGTTTTCAATAGAAACTACACAGGTGTAAAAGCTTCTTAAATATGTCAAGGCGATATAGATACGGTTTGTCGCTTAGAAACTTATAGATTACACGAGGGAGCACTATAAGAAAGACACGTCTGTCCGTATTGAAGTAAACACGTTATTGCTTAGAAGAAACTATTAAAAACTCGACGAAAGCAAACAATGTTACTATTTTTAAAGTTTGATAGTTTACCTTACTTAAGCTATTGCAACGATAGTTAAACTGACTGCTTTAATGATTTTCATACAAATTCAGTACAGATACATATACAGTGTAATTATTTTATCATAGGCCACTCAATACCTCTAACTTTTAAAACATACATTTTAAAACATACATTTCACTCACTTTTGAAATTGAGAATAATTTACTAAAAATTTTGACTGGTCGATTACATTAGTTTTGGAAAACTATTTTTAAAGTACATAAGGGGCCTCTACACTAGCATTTACTAAGGCGCATTGTATAGGCAATTTTTCGTTGAAACTTAACATTAAGTCAACATTTTAAATATACATATTACCATAGTAAGAAGTATCTATTTTGATAATTTTTTTTTTTCAACTTTAATATCGCATGTAAAATCTATTTTTTTACAAAAACACATGTTTCTACTTCAAACGTTATGTTCTTAATAATAACAATATGGGATCCCAACAATTTCTGATGATATTATTCACTTAATGCAAAACCCTTGTTTAAAAAATACATAATCAAACTGGAGTTAATACGTCTTGAAGAGGAACTAAAATAAACATCATATAAGTATAATATGGTATACAACTAAACAAGTGCTGAAGCCTGAAAGTACTACACTACAATACTAAAAAACAATTCACATCGACTCTAGTATTAGGACCACCACTTGTATTAGGACAGCAACATATTATAGTATTAAAAAATATTATAATACGTAGATGTCTATTTACAATATATATGGTATGGATGTAAACATTTAACATAAACAAAGCATCAAGAAAGTACGAACATTTAAAAAAAAAAAATAACGACTACGTTAAAAATTAGCACCAAAGAGTTTATAGCGTTTATTTGAAAGTGGTTTTCCCCTTTTTATTACAAAATAATTCCTGTAGACCTGTAGGTCTTCCCGTCCCTATTGCTTTGATCCCATTATGCCTTGACCCCACTGTACTGGCTTACTAGGATCAAATCACTTTCAAATAAACGCTTCGATACGAACTATGCTTACTATGCTATGCGTAATTATAACCAGAGATCTGCATCATTCTAATAAAGTATATTTAAATAATCGTCTAGGTATCAAATTATTCAAATAAAAGTTCTTTGTTTAAAAATGTATTTGAATCATTTGAAAAATTATCATTTAAATAGTCTGTGTTTTTTTTTAAGTTATTGTATTTAAAATTATTATTTCGTAACTTTAAATACATTTTTAATTCAGAAAATATATAAAACCAGTAAATATAAGAAAACAATTTCGTATAATACTTACGAAATAATTGCAATGATAGTTATACTGGCTGCTTCAATGTTTTTTTTACGACTGATCGAAAGACTTATATATTACCGACCCAAACAATAAATTCCAGATGTATTTTGCAAAATTGTCTATGCGAATTTGTTAACATAAGCAACATTTGTTGTTTTAAAAAACATTTACAATTAACTAATTTGGATGACATTATGTATAGAATAAAATGTAAAGAGATATAATAAACACTATTTAACAAATGTAATTTATACTATATTGATACAGTTTTATTAAAGTATGACGCAAAAGGCAATCTTATTTGTATAATAACAGAACGTTCATGTGTCTAAAAAATATTAGCGCCAAATAAATATTTCGCAAACAAAAACAATTTTGGTTAGCGTTGTAAAAAATAATTGTCCAATATTCCTAATATTCCTAATATTATTAGTACCAAATAAGTAAAAATGTTAAATATATTATTATACAGAGCTTTAAACCAGAAAAATATTGATAAATAATTTTCTTATAAAAAACCCGTTCAAATAACAAAATATATTGGGCACAAGATTTACCGTGTGATCGCTATAAAATAAGTAAACTAGTAACTTTTCCAAAAATACAAAGTTGGTCGAACTAAAACTATGGTTAATATAAGGGTACAAACGATTTCTAGTTGAACTGACCTAATAAAAACTTGGTCCAAATTGGCTATTATATGGATGAGGGGTAAAACAAAATTTGTAAACAAAATAACTAAATAAAAATTTGTTCCTGTAAACATTGAGTTGGGCCAATTATTTATTTAGTTCTTCTAATTAAATATTTATCATGTCCTTAATTTTTTTCCACAGTTTAAGTCTGCCCAACTATGTATATTTTTCCGTGTATGAATGTGGTAATATTTCAATAAGGATAAGAATCTTTTTTTAATTAAATAATTTCATTTGTAATTTTTTTTTTTTCATTAAAATATTTACAATATTTTAAATTTGGACTACTATTGTGTGTCGAATAAAATGTAAAGGGATATACTAAACACTATTTAACAAATGTAATTTATACTATATTGATACAGTTTTATTAAAGTATGACGCAAAAGGCAATGTTATTTGTATAATAACAGAACGTGCATGTGTCTAAAAAATATTAGCGCCAAATAAATATTTCGCAAACAAAAAACAATTTTGGTTAGCGTTGTAAAAAATAATTGTCCAATATTCCAAATATTCCTAATATTATTAATACCAAATAAGTAAAAATGTTAAATATATTATTATACAGAGCTTTAAATCAGAAAACTATATTTAAATAATTTTCATATAAAAAAACCCGTTCAAATAATAAAATATATTGGGCACAAGATTTACCGTGTGATCGCTATAAAAATAAGTAAACTAGTAACTATTCCAAAAATACAAAGTTGGCCCAATTAAAACTATGGTTAATAGAAGGGTACAAAACATTTTTAGTTGAACTGACTTAATAAAAACTTGATCCAACTATTATTTGGCTATTATATATCTTAGGGTACAGTAAATTTGTTGTTGAAATAACTTAATACAAATTTGTTCCTATACATATTTAGTTGTGCCAATTGTTTACTTAGTTCATCCAATTAGAAATTTTTCGTGTCCCTAAATTAAACCATAGTAAAAGTTGGACAGTTGTTTTTAAAAACATTTATAATTAACTAATTTGGATAACATTATGTGTAGAATAAAATGAAAAGGGATATAATAAACACTATTTAACAAATGTAATTTATACTATATTGATACAGTTTTATTAAAGTATGACGCAAATGGCAATCTTATTTGTATAATAACAGAACGTTCATGTGTCTAAAAAATACTAGCGCCAAATAAATATTTCGCAAACAAAAAACAATTTTGGTTAGCGTTGCAAAAATAATTGTCAAATATTTCAAATATTCCTAATATTATTAGTACCAAATAAGTAAAAATGTTAAATATATTATTATACAGAGCTTTAAATCAGAAAATTATAGTTAAATAAGTTTCTTATAAAAAAACCCGTCCTAATAAAAACTTGGACCAACTTGGCTATTTTATAGATTAGGGGTAAAACAAATTTGTATCCCTAGTGATTTTATTCACTTTAATTTATAGCAATTCCTGTAGAACTCTCCATCGCCTCGATGCATTCATTCTATTATGCATATACTCTACTGTACAAGTCCTCTCGAATAAAATGACTTTTAAATAAACGCTTTGATGCTTATTTGTATACACAGCACCTCAATTTAATATTTTCTTACTTTGCTGGTTTACACTGTGCTTGGTTAGGACTGTACTGGCTTGAAAATACAAACTATTGATTTACATCGAAGCGTTTATTCGATAGTGATTTTTTCACTCTCAGATTTAAAATTTCCTTAAACTTGTAACCTCCCTGTCCCCACTATGGCCCCGACCCCACTACGCTTCGTTCCCAACTATTCCCCGATCCCTTTGTACTGTTTTTTTTTTCGATATTAATTTGTTGTATTACACTTTAGTCGAGTTTTTTTTGTATTCAATATATTTTTTATTATAAAGTGTTTGAAGTTTCCTGAAAATCACTTTACGACTCTAGAAGAGTTGTTTGTAAATTATTAAGATATCTGGAGACCGAAAGTAATTA